GTTTTTTTTTTTTTTTTTTTTTTTTTAATTGGAGCAGTTTGACTGAGCATGGTCTTGTATGTAAATTTATCCTGGAACTTCAGAGCCTGCTGTGGATGTGGGAATGGCCTCTCCCTATGCCTGAAGAAGGGTGTCTGTGCCTGAAAGCTTGCAAAGAACAATTTTTCCAAGTATTTGGTTGGTCTAATAAAAGATATCACATCTACCCAAGGAAGCTTGTCTGCTGAATAGAAAGGAGTAACTTATTGCTCAAACAAGAGGCTATCTTTGTTTCTGGATAGAATGTGAACTAACAAAGCTGATGTTCCAAATTGCATTCTGGGGATTGGGTTGTCAGAAGTCTCAAAAATGTAAAAATGCCAAGCCCCTCTTTGTTCCAGTTGGGCCTTGAAGCAAATGCACCCAGAAATATCAGTCTGACTGCTTATGTTTTTGTATGCAACTCTCTAAAGAAAACACATAATTTTGCATGATACATCATGCTTGTGTTTTGAATTAATGGTGTCACTGAGTTAATCGTTTCAACTTTGGTATGTAATGTAAAGCTCAGTAGTTGGAGAAACTTTGGCCAGCTGATCCACAATAGGAACAGCGGCTGCCCAGGATCTCATCCAGAGGTGGAGGGGGTCCTGATTGTGTTGTGCCACTTCTTAACCTTATATAGTATCCTTATTTTGAGAGGAAAAAATTCCTCATTTGGAAATAACTGTTTGGCAGAAGAATGGAAGTGACCCAGTTTGTGACCAAAATTGTTTTTTAACTAAGGTGGTTATTACTCCAGTTGAGCATCCTTCATAGTAAAAATATGGCTTTCTACCTAGTATGGCAGTTAACACTTCAGGTACAGGGTCAGGATTTATGATGCAGTATCTTCTAACCTTTAGTATGCATCTGTGTTAGGTGATTTGTGGCCAAAGCCTTAACTTGGCTTTTATGGCCAATATGAAATTAGCTGATCAATCCTGTCTAGTTGATAAAAGTGAACAAACTACTGCTTTGGGGCCTTTAGAAGAATCATCACACTTAGTAGTTGCTGATACCAGGATCCGGTGGCTCAGCAGATGTGCAAAGGTGCAAATGGGCAGAGACTTGCACCATTTTTTTACCTTTGATCTTTCTAGTTCTATGCAGTGTGGTAGAGAATAGTGGTGGATCTTCAGTTACTCCAATAATATAATATTCTTTTTTTTTTTCTTTTTTAATAGCCTGCCAAGAAAGACTGATATGGAAAGGTGAGTCCCCAAAATGCTGAATTTTTAATTCATGTTTAGATTTGAATATTGAGGAAATATGCTGAACATGGAATCACTGGAAATAAAAGGAAAATTTTCTCCAAATTTTAGACTTGCCTAAATAAAGAATCTTCTATGCGCTATCTCTGGTTTTCCATCTGGCACTGTAAAGAGTAAGATTTTCTTGTAGCAAAGGCAACTTTAGTTTCAAGTGACCTAGGATTTTTTGGAAATGCTAAAATAAATTGGAAAAGGGATGTTTCTGAACAATTGTTTCTGCAACAAGTGTAGTCCCTCCTGTGAGTGTTTTTCTTGTGTGGACAGTGACAAGATGCTAATTTGAGGGGTGGAGTCTGGGGTGTCCATAGCCAGTGAGAGAGAGAGAGAATAAGAGATCCAAAGTAGATGCAAGATATTGGGATGAAAGACGTTCCAGTGCAGGGTTGGAAGCTGGAAATCAAATAGGATAAAACATCAGTGGAAGATTACCAACTTCTGTCATGGCTATCAAATACGAGAACCCTGTTTTTATTTCAGAACCTGTTGTCTAGACTTCAGAAATATGTAGAACAGATTATTAGGAAACAAAATAATTTGAATGTTCCTCTTTTCACTGAGAACAGAGTATTCAATGAGCTTTCTTTGAGTATGTTCTATAGAAGCTGGCAGAAAATGTAAAAGCTGCTTTCTTTGTGCTCTCTACAAACTGTAATTGACTGATTTACTTTGAAGCTACATAGTTACACAACCTCCAGCAACTCAAATTAAAATATTGTGCATTGTGTCAGATGTATGCTTTGCATATGAAATGTTTTTGAATGCCATTTAATCTTTCATAACACCAGCTGCTACTTCTGTGAGAAACTAGATCAAGTTGGGCAGGTCAAGTGGAGCAGCATGGACCTTTTTTCTCATTAAACAAGAGGGAGGTAAAAGAAAGTAGGCAGCATTGAAAGATTTTGGAGAGCCACAGTTGGTCAGTGGTGCTTGGAAATTGTTTTCCGATTTTTGCATCAGTAATAAACTACAGTGTGATATTAGGACATGGCTGACAAATATTTTACTCCATTTGATGGAGCTTTCCAGCTGTTTAAACTTGGCTACAGCTTCTCTAAGGGATGTTGCATAATTAACTCATTTATTCTGTTGCTTCTGTATTTGAATGTTACCAGAGCAGCGGTAATGCTGCAGCAAGTGTCAGACTTATGAAGCTGTTCCTTTAAGAAGAATGGTTGCATACAGGAAACTCCCTCGGTGCCAGGCAGTATACATGACACACTGATAAAGATGTGATACCTGGCAGGCATCAGTTCTAAAGAGATTTCACATGGATTTAAAATCCTTTCCCATTATGTTTTCCTAAGTATTCTTAGATAAGCACAGCTAATAGAAAATCATGGATCTGTTACTTTAACACTTATCTCTTTCAAAAAATCTTATGTACAAAATGCCATGGAGAGTTTATTTGTATGCAGTAATAAGGACAGCAGTTGGATGTGAAACTACATTGTTAGTATGATGCAGAGTAGTACTGATGATGCAAAACTAGTGCAAAGGGAAAACCATGGGCCTGGCATTTGGAAAAGGTAACTGTTGCATTCTCAGTGTTCTTAATTCCTGCTTCCTTCCTTGTTCTCCAGTGAAAGATCTAAGTGCTTTTGATCTAAGTATATTAATGATCTATACTTATCTTTAATACATGTTTGGAGGGACCTTGTTTTCCCAAACAGACAAATAGGAGCTGACTCTTTATTTTTGCTTTGAGTCAGTAGAGCTCTAGCTAAGAAATTTTAAAGAAAACTCTTCTTTAAAATACTTTGCATAGCTCTGTTAACTTGATTTTTGAAAATATTTTTCAGTATTTCTGGTCAGTGAATTGGTGTTGCTTTGTCTCTAGCTTGCCATCGGGTCTCTGTTGCCTGCAGAAGAGGAATGCTGAGTCCTACATGTGTGAAAAGGAATATAGGTTAAATTTATAATGCAACTATAGCCTGCAGTACAGTGACTCTGAAAGACTTCTGCAGGTGTGCATAGATAACAAAGTTGAATATGAACGCCACATGCAATGCTTTGCTAGCAGGATTAATCATAGTATCATAGCAAATTAGGGTTGGAAGGGACGTAAGGAGATCATCCAGTTGAACCCCCTGTTCAAAGCAGGACAATTCCCAACTAGATCATCCCATCCAAGGCTTTGTCTAGCTGGGTCTTAAAAGCCTCCAAGGATGGAGATTCCATAACCTCTCTGAGTAACTTGTTCCAGTACTCCACTACCCTCCTAGGAAGAGAGTGTTTCCTAATATCCAATCTAAACTTCCCTTGCTGTAACTTGAGACCATTGCTCCTTGTTCTGTTAGGTGCCACCACTGAGAACAGTTTAGGTCCATCCTCTTGGGAAGCACCCTTCAGGGAGTTGAAGGCTGTTATTAAGTCTCTTCTCGGTCTTCTCTTCTGCAGACTAAATAAGCTCAGTTCTGTCAGTCTCTCCTCGTAAGTTGTGTCCCAGCCCCCTCACCTTTTTCATTGCCCTCCACTGAACTGTCTCCAATTTGTCTACATCCTTTCTGTATTGGGTGGCCCAAAACTGGACATGGTAGTCCAGATGTGCACTCACCAATGCCAAGTAGAGGGGAATAATCACTTCTCTCAGTCTACAGCTAATGCTTCTACTAATGCAGCCTAATATGCCGTTAGTCTTCTGGGTAGCAAAGACACACTGTTGGCTCATCTTCAGCTTATTGTTCATTGTAACCCCCAGGTCCTCTTCTGCAGAGCTTCCCTAGCCTATACTAGTGCATGGGATTGTTCCATCCTAGGTGTAATACTTTGGACTTGTCCTTGGTGAACGTCATGAGATTTCTTTTGGTCTAATCCTCCAATTTGTTGAGGTCTCTCTGAATCCTAGCCCTGTCCTCTAGTGTATCTACTACTCCCTGCAGCTTGGCATCATCTTCAGACTTGCTGAGGGTGCACTCCATCCCATTTTCCAAGTAGTTGATGAAAATATTGAACAGGATAGATCCCTGGGGCACTCCACTTGATACCAGCTGCCAACTGGACATTGAGCCATTTATTACTACTCTTTGAGTTTGATGATCCAGCCATTTATCTGTCCACTTTACAGGCAATTCATCCAACCAACCCATACTTCCTTAGCTTGCTTGCAAGAGTTTTATGGGAGACTGTATCAAAAGCCTTGCTAAAGTCAAGGTGTATCATGTCCACTACTCTCCCCACATCCACAGAGCCTAGAAGCCTACTACTCTCCTAGAAGGCATTCAGGTTGGTCAGGCACGACTTGCCCATGATGAACATATGATGACTATTCCTAATCACCTTGTCCAAGTGCTTAGAAATGGATTCCTTGAGGACCTGCTTCAAGATTTTTCCAAGGACTGAGGTGAGGCTGACCGGTCTGTGCTTTTCCAAATCCTCCTCCTTCTTCCTTTTCTTAAAGATACACACTGTATTTGCTTTTTTCCAATAATTTGGGACCTCTCCTGATTGCCACAAGTTTTCAGAGATAATGGCCAGTGGCTCTGCAGTCATATTGGCCCACTCCCTAAGCATCCTCTCGTGCATCATGTATAGCCACAGGGACTTGTACACATCCAGCTTTTCTAAATAGTCCCTAACGTGTTCTTTTGCCACTGTCGGTTGCTCACCTCCTCTCCAAACTGTATTGCCAGGTGCAGTAGTCTAGTAACTGACCTTGCCTGTGGAGGCTGAGGTAAAAAGGCATTGAATGCTTTTTCTGCATTATCTGCCAATAGGTTGGCTCCCCCATTCAGTAAGTGGACCCACACTTTCTCTGATCTTCCTCTTGTTGCTGACATACATATAGAAACCTTTCTTGTTACCCTTTACATCCCTTGTTAGCCAGCAACTCCAATTGCATTTTGGCCTTCTTGATTTCACCTTGTATACTCCTCCATAATTGTTTACCCATGTTTTCACTTCGTGTAAGCTTCCTTTTTGTGGTTTAGCTCACTGAAGGGTTCCCTGCTAAGCCAAACTGGTTTCTTGCCATAGTTGCATGTCTTCCTGCAGATCAGAATAGTTTGTTTCTGCGCCTTCAATAAGGTTTCTTTTAAAATACAACCTGCCCTCCTGAGCTCCTTTTCCTGCCCTCGGACTGGCCTCCCAGGGGATCCTGCCCATCAGTTCCCTGACCAAGTCAAAGTCTGCTTTTCTGAAGTCCAGAGTCCTTACTCTGCTGCTCCCCTTCCTTCCTGTCGTCATGAACTCAATCATTTCTTGGTCACTGCTGCCCAAGTTGCCATTCACTTCTACATTTGCCATCAATCCTTCCCTGTTTGTGAGCATCAGTTCAAGAAGAGCTTAGCCCCTAGTTGGCCTCTCCAAAACTTGCATCAGGAAACTGTCCACAATACTGTCCAGAAACTTCCTGGATTGCCTGGGCACTGCTGTATTGCCCTCCCAGCAGATGTCAGGGTGATTGAAGTCAACCGTGAGAACCACAACCTATGATCAGGAAACTTCTACTAGCTTGAAGAAAGACCAGCAGTAGGATAAGGCTATAACAGACGCCCAGTACATTGTTACCCTTGTTCTCCTCTCTGACCCTAACCTAGAGACTTTCGACGGGCTTATCTCCAGTTTCAGACTGGAGCTCTGAACAGTCATACAGCTCTTGTACATAAAGTGCAACTCCTTCTCTTCTCCCCTGCCTGTTCTTCCCAGTTTGTATCCATCCGTGACAGCTCTTGTTACTGGAGCACTAGCCTACCAAGTCTCTGTTATTCCAATCATGTCATAGTTCTGTGACTGTGAAGACTTCTTCAAATTCTTTGTGCTTATTTCACAGGCTCTGTGCACTCATGTACAGACACCTGAGGTAACTAGCCAATTGCCCTACTTTTTCTGAAAGAATGAGAAGGCCTCTTTTGCAAGCAGGAAGAGGCAACATTTCTTCCATGTCACCTGTTTCCTCACTTATCTCAGGGCTTTAGTTTTCATCTTGCAGTGAACCTAGTTTA